TTGCTTGTATATTACAGTAGTATGTGCATGTTTCAGGTGAAATTAACCGATTGCTATGATTTGGGGGTGGAAGAATTTTCCCATGGTTCCACTGACATTAGAATTTTAACATCGAGCCAAATTAGGTAGACCAAGCTACACAATCGTGTCAGTATGTGTCCTTTAGTCTAAAGGTGCCCATACACCTTACGATTATCGGACGATAATCGTATGCGATCGACTTTTCGTCTGATAATCGTATGTGTGCATTGCAGTGTCCGACCGACATTACTGTACAATCGTACGACTTTTGACGGTCAAGCATGTTGGAAAACTTTGGTCGATCGTACGATGTTCGCATGGTTGGTGGCGTTTCCGTCCGTCAAAAGTCGTACGATTAACAATGCGCCTGCGCAAACGAAAATTATTGCGGTCAATTACCGCAAGTCGTCCGGGTGTTTTTTTAACTATCGCTGATTTAATCTTTCGATAATCGGGGCAGGATGGGGCTGTCGTACGATTATCCGATCATCGGACGAAAAGTTTCGTCCGATAATCGTAAGGTGTATGGGCACCTTTTAGAGCAATAGAAATGTCTGTAGATTTAAAATGCACTTGTGCAAATCTTTACTGATGCTCTCACGTGTTCTGCTTAACAGATGCTAATAGAGGAAGTGTTGTGTGTATTGTTGCACAGCTGTTCTGTTAAAAAAACAAAAAAACAGCTTGTGCAAGCTTTTGATTGCATGCTGTTCTGTATATATTTATTGCTTATCATTTAATGCAATTTTGGCATGACATTTTTAGCACAATTGTCCGGACAGACACTATCTGCATGGCGTGTACTTGTTCTCCCTTTGCTTGCTGGGATTCCTCCGGGTATTCCAGTTTCCTCCCACATGCTGGTAGGTTAATTGGCTCCTGTCTAAACTGGTCCTAGTATGTGTATGTATGTATGTAGGTGAAATGGGAACTAGGGATGCACTGAAATAGAATTTTGAAACCGAAAATTTAAAATTTGTCGGGTCGAAACCAAAACATTTTTTTTCCAACCTTTCTAAAATGTTTACAATTATTATTTAATTTTCTTTTTATTTAATTTTCTTTTTCTATCTAGGGCCCTAGGGAAGTATTAGGGAGTCTAAACAGGCCCCTGATATTTCCCTTTTA